TCATGTATTGATTTGTGACTTTGCCTGTAACCTCTGTCTCTCTGAAAATGTATAAAACTGAACTGTAACCCAGCCACAGCGAGCCCACTTGCTCAAGGCTTCTTGAGAGTGGCTCAGGGTCATGGTCCTCAAATTTGGCTCAGAATAAACTTCTTTCAAATATTTCAGGGCTTGGATTTTTTTCCATCCACACCACGCATCTTCCTCTTCCACTTTCTTTTATCCTGGGATTCTCCCCCAAGTAGGCATTTAGGTGAATCTTGTACCTTTTTTTATCTACCTAAATTAGTATATTCCTAATTTTGTTATGTAGACATGTAAAAAAGACTAAAAGTACATGAAAATATAAAAATGATTACCTGTACATTTTAAAAATGTGAACATGGATGATTTTTATTTTCTTCCTTGTGCTTTTCTACATCTTCTAAATTGTATACAATAAGAATAAACTATTTTGGGAAAATATACAAGTTATTAAATAAAAATAATAAACAGTATGCCAAAAGGTAATGCCTATAAGAATGCTTAATAAAATTTATACAATAATGATTTTTTAAAATATATTTAGAGCATCTGGGTGGTCTCCAAATATTAGCTGTGGTTCAGTCATGACCTTTCTGCCTGGAAGGCTCTGACTTCTGCAGACAGAATGGAGCCCTCCTCTGGACATCACAGGCAAAGTTTCTGTGTCTCCCAAGCCTTTGTCTGCATTACAATCGTGGTTTATCCTAAGGCAAACCAGTCCAGCGTGGTGCCTGAACTGCTCAGTGGTGTGGCCTAATGGTCCTAAACCTGGAGGTAGATCCATCCCATGTCAGCCTTCCACCCCTGGGCCCTCTTCTACCAAAAGCCAGTTCTCGTCTGCAGTCTTGGGGATCCCCTTGGGCTCAGAGCACAGTGTGTCCCAGTCCTGCACTGTGTCTGGGCAGGGCTCCTGGAACTTCTCCAGGCCCCACCGGTTTGCACTCAGCATAAAGTAGCGGGCACATGCCACACTTCATTGTGGTCTTCAAATCATGCTTTCTTTAAGATGATCTTGAGGACAAATGTGAGAAATAGTGAGAGTTGAGTAACCTCAATATATTTTTAGACATTTTATGCTCCCTCTGTAGAATTACTAGAAACAAATAAGACTGTTTAATTACAGTCGTAGCAAGTTGTCCTTTATAATTGTCTAAATGAAATACATTGATCTCCAATCTATTTATCATCTTTAGCACTCAGTACTTGGTCAGATTTCTACTTTTCTTTTCCCCCTCTAATGAGGAAAACCAACTCAAATATAGAGGCTCCATTCATGAGCACATTTTCCCCCTATTATTGAGTGTAGTTGTTCTCATCTTTCCCTGAAGGCCCATGGTTGCGCATAAAGTTATAAAAAGTATGAGAGAACATCAGTGATTGCAGAATGGAAAGGAATAGGTGGAGTACGTAAAGAAGAGCAGAATCAGAGAGAATTCCATTACAGAATCAAAGTCCTAAATAAGTGGTTGTGCCTACAGTGTTGAATACTCGTTTGAACTGTCAGATGACTTTGTTTATCACTAGAGAGGGGAATATTTGCCTGAGGCTTTGGGCAGATTGGGTTTTCATGTCTTCGCTTTAACCAGGACTCCTGCCTTCTTAAAGTGCTCTATCAGTCTTGGAAACTATTCTTTTGTTGAGGTGGAAGAGGAAGGAGGTGGTAAGAAGTGTGCTTGTCAAGCATAGCTCACAGTGACCTATGCCAAGTGGTTATAAATAAGGTGTGGGTGTGCCTATTGCTCCCTAGCTTAAAGCAAGGCCATTCATACTGAATGTAACATATCTAGGTAATAAGGAACCAGTTTTGCGAAATTAGTCAAACATGTTTTTGCATAACAATCTAATATCCTCATGAAATCAAGATCCTGTTTTCTATATAAGCCTTTCAATCCAGGGAGATGTTAGTAAACTAATATTTTTAGCTTTGAAGGGGATAAAAAATGAAAGCAGACACATTATTTTTATTGCTATGTTGTAAATGGCTGTTCAGGTCTTCCCAGTTCCACCCTTACTGTCTCTGGGTGATTCCTTAAGACACCAGGAAACTTCGATTGTGAAACACTGCTATGAAGCAGTGAGCTACCTAGACCTGAGTCACTAATGCATTGCTTCTCACTGACACTTCTCTAGGCACACATTTGAGAAGGTCACAATTTTTAATAACAATGGTTAAGAGCAGTTAACTTTTGGGACCCTGGTCTTGAGCAGTAAACCTCACACTGAGGTAGGACAAAATAAAGGTCTTGCATACAAGTCCAACCTGCATCTGACTCTGATAGACATATTGAGGTGGCTGCCATGACACTAGGGACTGTCTCCAACTTCAGCTCAGGAGTTTCAGCAGATCCCATGTCACAGTCCACACTCAGCTCTCCCAGGGTGCGGCCAGGCACCCTTACCTTCAGACCACAGCCCACTCCACACTAGCTGACTTGCCGCACGCTCACAAGACTCTTTCTTGAGTATGGCAGAGTGGCCATCTGCATGCTCAGGTATTCGTTTCAGCACCTCGCATGTCGCTTATGGGCATGTGCTAATGACAGCCACTAGTTCTTTTTTTTTTTCCTTCTTGATTGTCGTATATGTCTTTATTTTTAGTATACCTCGGTGTGGATGTGGATGTAGATATAGATATAGATATAGATGTAGATATAGATATAGATAGATATCAAGTCAGATACCAAGAAATTATCTTTCTGCTTCTTTGCCACACAATGTTTACCACATGATGCTTACCAGTGGCAAATTCCATAGCCATAACCATAACAATGACAGCTCTAAGCTAGTGCTTTCTATATATTAATTTATTTAATCTCTCCAAGGTAATGATTCATTTCTCTAGCTAATGAGGAAACTGAGATTCAGAGAGGAGGTTAAATAATTTACTTGTCCAAAGACACACAGATGCCAAGTAGGATTTAAGCCAAAGTCTATCAGACTCCAAACTCATACCCTCTCCACAAATTCAAGTTGCTTCTTAAAGTTTTTTGTTTGTTTTGTTTTGTTTTGTTTTGTTTTGAGACAGAGTCTTGCTCTGTTGGTGGAGATAGAATGCAGTGGCATCAGCCTAGCTCACAGCAACCCCAAACTCCTGAACTCAAGTGATCCTCCTGCCTCAGCCTCCCGAGTAGTTGGGACTACAGGCATGCGCCACCACGCCTGACTAATTTTTTCTATTATTAGTAGAGACGGGGTCTCTTGCTCAGGCTGGTCTCAAACTCCTGAGCTCAAGTGATTCTCCCGCCTTGGCCTCCCAGAGTGCTAGGATTACAGGCGTGAGCCACCGCGTCCAGCCCTTCTTAAAGATCTTTGCCAATTGCATTAATATACCTTGTCTGGCAGTCACTGTTTGCTATTAGTACTTTCTTCCTTACTAACAAAACCCTAAGTCTGTATAGGTTTAGGGCAGACATACATTCTGGAAGGTGGGCTCCAGACCCAGCCCCAGCTCCAAAGCCTAAATCAGTCATGGTCATTACATTACCCTTCTCCTTTTGAAGGAATGGAGTTAGACATGTGACTCAGTTCTGTATAGACTTAGGGTCTGTACAGTTCTGTTCAGTTCTGTGTCAGTTCTGTTCACATTATTTTCTATAATGTGAAATAATTACTTTTATTTACTTAAGCTATCATTACTGAGATAGTCTTTCACATGCAGCTGAATATGCGCCAACTGATATCCCTTAATTCCTAGATAGCTTCAGAAATTAAATTGCATTATTACTTTGCAAGGAGGCATAGACAAACACACACAATTTCATATCTTCCAAACATTTTGTCATAGAGAATTTAGAAAATGACACAAGAAGTATGAAAAGCTAAATAAGAAGTCCAAGTAAGGAAACTAAGAAAAGGAACGAACAGTCCAACTAAATGACTCTTGAATGACTCATCTCAAATCTTCATTCCAATGGCTTTTCATGGCTTCTCTGAGTGATCCCCCACCTCAGTGATTATCAGCTTCCCTCCCCTCCCTCCCCTGGATTCCTGATGTGTCACACCAATTCCAAGTCTCTGTTAGAGCATTAAGCTTTTCTCTCTTCCACACCTTTACTTCCTGGAACCCTTATCTTATTATCAGTCTTATACAATATCTGCAACTGATTCAGCCAGCCATGTGGGGTGACAAACGTTCCATCCTAGAACCATGGTCCAATCTGTCTGTAACCTCACTGAGAAGCCCCTGATGCTGGTAAATGCTGCTGTGAGTTTCTCAAAACCTTCACTGGCTGCATTTTGACACTATGCCAAGGTTGAGCTGGATCCTCCAACCCCTGCTGAGATCCCTACAGCTACTTACAACCTAAAAAGAAAATAAACAATAGAGCTTAAACTGGTGGCTTTAAACAGCTCACAGTTAAGGAAGCTGTGCTAATGGTTTGGTGGGCACTGAGGTGGAGGTGTGGATGTGGTTTTCTATCAGTGAGATCATAAGCAAGCATGGCATCATTGGCTGTAATGTTTAAAACCAATCTTTAACATCTGATTATATTTGGTTTATTATTTGAGTGTTCTTGGACCATATGTAATCAGATTGCTATCCGATTACAGATATTATAAAATAATGTATGAAAAAATTTCTTCATGCATAAAACCCCTGATATCGGGTCTTTGTCCGCAGGTCAGTACGGCCCCTGGGTCCACGTGGCGTGAAAGTAAGAGGAGTATCTCTAAAGTAGATTGCTACAAGTGGAGTTGCCCAGTAGGCTGGCCTCGAATCCCTGGATTCAAGCAATACCCCTGCTTTAGCCTTCCAAGTTGCTGGGACTCTACAGGGCCACTTACCTGGGCTTCCTTGGAAACTGCACCTTCTTCACCCTTCAGAAGGCTGGGAGGCCCCAGAGCTCAGCCTGAGTTCTAGGATGGTACTTTGGCCTCAGCATTAATATTGTAGTGCTCTGTCACTTCCCGGTATTGGATTATAAAGTGACCAAATTGTTTGTGTGATCCTCCACTGAAGCAAGACAACAAACTGTATGGTAGAGAAAAGAAGTAGAAAAGAAGCCTGTCCAGAAGAAGTCTGAGAAGAAGAGCAGATAAAGAGCAACAAGATTTGGGAGGCTAGTTGCATCTATCTCCAATAAAGTACAGACTGAGAAAAAAACAGTGAATATAAGAAAATCGGAAAAGTACTTCTGATCTCAGACCTTGTATCTTTTAAGGCCATACACAGAGAAGCCTTATGAATGTAAGAAATGTGGAAATATCATCAGCCAAAAGTAAATTCTGATTCATCAAAAAATTTATACTGCAGAGAAACCTTGTGAATGTGGGAAAGCTTCCATTCAGAAGTCACACCTCAGTCAGCAGAAAATTTATAGTGGGGAAAAGCCCTTTGCCTGCAAGGTATGTGGGAAAGCCTTCAGCCACAAATCAAATCTCACTGAACATGAGCATTTTCATAATAGAGAAAAACCTTTTGAATGTAATGAATGTGGAAAAGCCTTTAGCCAAAAGCAGTATGTCATTAAACATCAGAACACCCATACTGGAGAAAAGCTTTTTGAATGTAATGAATGTGGAAAGTCCTTCAGCCAGAAGGAAAACCTCCTTACCCATCCGAAAATTCACACTGGAAAGAAACCTTTTGAGTGTAAAGATTGTGGGAAGGCTTTCATTCAGAAGTCAAACCTCATCCGACATCAGCGAACTCACACAGGAGAGAAGCCCTTTGTGTGTAAGGAGTGTGGAAAAACCTTTAGTGGCAAATCAAACCTTACTGAGCATGAGAAAATCCATATTGGCGAGAAACCCTTTAAATGTAGTGAATGTGGAACAGCTTTTGGCCAGAAGAAGTACCTCATAAAACATCAAAACATTCACACTGGAGAGAAACCCTATGAATGTAATGAATGTGGAAAAGCCTTCTCTCAGAGTTCATCTCTTACTGTCCATGTGAGAAGCTGTACAGGTGAGAAACCCTATGGTTGTAATGAATGTGGGAAAGCTTTCTCTCAATTCTCAACCCTTGCTCTGCATTTGAGAATACACACAGGTAAGAAGCCTTATCAATGTAGTGAATGTGGGAAAGCTTTCAGCCAGAAGTCACACCACATTAGACACCAGAAAATCCATACTCATTAAAAGCCCTGTGAATACCTTGAAAATGGCGACGTTTTCATTAGGAATTTACACATCATAGTGTATCAGAAATAATCATTCTGGAGCAGAGCACCATAAATGAGTTAAACCAACAAATACTAAAAACTAATGGGATATCAGAAAATTTGTACTGAAGAGAAAGTCATTTGTATGATAAAAAGCCTACAGAAAAACTTATAGCAAAGGTAATGCCGAAACTTTAGACATATTTCCACTGCAATGGAAATGGAGAACATGACTGTTACCATTGCTCTCGTCATAGATCTGGAGATCTTCACCAGTGTAATAAGGAAAACATATTGTAAGTATTGAAAATGAAGAGACAAAAATAAATGATAGGATCAACTACAAATGTAAATTATTATAAGACTCTTGTGGTATTGATTCAACAGAGCAGAAGAGATTCTAGAAAGAGATCTATGCATTTCTTAGAATTTAGAATATGATAGAAATAGCATCAGGTGAGGAATAATGGGACTATTTTAAAAAATGATTTGGAGATAATTTGTTCTCCAAGGGGGAAAATATAGACTATGAACTATAAACAAAAATAAAATCTACAGAGACTAAAAACAATAATATGAAAAAGCTATATTCTGAAATGGTTATGACTTGGGAAGTAGGGAAACATTCCTTGTAACAACTTCAAAGATACTTATTAATTCTACTTTTGAGTATATATGCTCAGGAAATAGTGTACCAGGATATTAAGTATGGCTTGATTTATAGCATACAAAAATTGGATACAACTTGAATGTCCATCAGGAACAAAATGGAAAATACTTATGATGGAATACTGTATATCTGTCAAATGCAACAAATGAGATCCACGTGTATTAACAGATCTCAAAAATCTTGTTGACAGGGAATCAAGTTGCAACATGATGCATATAATACAATGACTTTGTAAATTTTAATTAGAACTTCCCTCACAAAATTCAGTACTGTATACTGGTAATGGATACATATATGTATGTAAATGTTTTGAAATGGATTGGAAGGATACAGACCCAACTCTTGATGGTGGTCACCTGTGAAGAGTGGAGAAGGGAAGGGAATCAGTGTGGAAGGTGGGGTGGGGATTGGTTAAAGGGACTTCAGCTTTTTATATAAACATCCATTTCTCTTTAAAAAGACTGTAAGTAAATATAAAGATACTAGTTAATTCTGGATTGTGATATATGGATATCTTGTCTTATTTTTTTGTACTTTTCTGTATTTTTAAAATTTCTCAATAAGAATGGGGAAGAGGATGGGAATGCTTTACCTGTAGAAATCACATTATAATGGATTCATTCCCAAATACTAAACTTTTTATAGAAAATATTTCTAAAATTTTATCAACAATGAATGGATGGACTTGCTCTCTATGTAATATGAAATTATCTATTTTATTAAAATTAAAAATGACAGCATAAAAAAAAAACAAACCCTGATATTGGCCAGACATGGTGGCTCATGCCTGTAATCCTAGCACTCTGGGAGGCTGAGGCAGAAGGATCCTTTGAGCTCAGGAGTTTGAGATCGGCCTGAGCAAGAGTGAGACCCTGTCTCCACCAAAAATAGAAAGAAATTAATTGGCCACCTAAAAGCATATAGAAAAAATTAGCCGAGCATGGTGGCACATGCCTGTAGTCCCAGCTACCTGGGAGGCTGAGGCAGAAGGATTGCTTGAGCCTAGGAGTTTGAGGTTGCTGTGAGCTAGGCTGATGCCACGGCACTCTAGCCCAGGCAACAGAGTGAGACTCTGTCTCAACAACAACAACAAAAAATAACCCTGATATCTCCTACCATACCCTAAATTCCCAAACATTCACATTAAAACTTTTCATTTTAAAGTAAAGGTAAATTCTACAGCGGTGCTAAGTTTGTACATCCTTCCTTATAATTTGTAGCGTTGCTTCTCAATAATCACCTTTAAATCTATAAACCCCCAAATTCCTTATAACTCTCAACTCTGAAACCCACTTCCTCTTTTCTTCACACTCCTTATGGATACATATGTTTTATCTTCCCTTGCCAGGGCCTGCAGCTGTCCTTTTTTCACACAGTTGTCAGATTTTATCTTAACTCCAGTGTCCTTTGCTCTCATTTTTATTTCATTCACATCATCGTAACATTTCTGATGAATTCCTCCTACAAACCAACAGCCTTTTGAACTTCTTGAACAATCCAATGTGTTTAGCTTCCTTCTTCTTTGGAAACTCCTGGTTCCTCTTGAGCATAAAGAGGAAGACTCCTCTTTTGCCCTTGGTTCATCTTGGCATTCAATTCCTCCTTCCCAGAGCACAATCTTTGGAAAGCAGCCCACGTGTCCTGCTAACACATGGGGGAGAAAGGAACAAGGAACAACACTGTCATCACTGTTATGTGGGCAGATGCCCACGAAACACTTAATGCTCACTACCCCTTGGGAAAAACCAGATCAGGAGTACTTCTGCTCCCTAGTCCACTCGTTTTTTCATTTATTCATTTAACAAATATTTGTTGACCAATGATTGTTAGCTTGGCAACTTGCTAGGCACTATGGATAAAGATGATGACCAAAACACCATGAGAGATGGTCTCATGAAGCTTACAGTACAAAGGAGAACCTATAATAAATAAATAAACAACCATAGGAATAATGAGAAAAGTGGCAGGTCTATTAGGAAACAGTTCAGGAGGCAACAGGAGAGTTAAGCAGAGGGATCTAACTCGAATTGAGGGTTTAGAGAAAGCCGGCCTATGGTAGGGATGCTAAAGGAGCTGGCCAGAAAAAGAGTGGGAGAAGGAGTACAACCAAAGGAAAGTCACTCAAGCCCTAAGGCAGGTGAGAGCTTGGAGTAACTGGAAGAAGCCCACTGCAGCTGGAGAGTGCTGAGAAAGGTAGAGAGTAATATGGCCTGTGGCTGGACAGTTGGGTTGAAGGCTGATCATGTAGGACCTTGGGAGCCACATTATGAGTTTTAATTCAGCAGAAGTGTAATGTGATCTGATTTGCATTTTGTAATATTCACTCTGATTGCAGGGTGGTTGGAGTGGAGCAAGCTTGGAAGCAGAGAAACAGGTAGAAGCCTGCTGGAGTAATACAAGCAAAACATGCTGTGGCAGCTTAATTTACAGTGCTGGTAGTGGACTTGGCAAGAAATGGCTACTTTCAAGAAATATGTATAGGATTTATTGTTACTTATTAATTACTAAAATTAATAGGATCTAGGGTTCACAAGGAGTGGAGAGGCAAGGACAGCTTCAAAATTCTTAAACAACTGGATAGGTAGAAGTATTATTTAGTAAGATGGAGAAGAACTGAAGAGAAAAATAATTGCGAAAGCAAAAACTAAGTGCTCAGTTTTTAAATATGTTTATTTTAAAATACTGTGAGATAGCTAAGCAGAAATGTGGAGTAGCAGTGGGGTCTGGAACTCAGCAAGTAACTCTGGACTAGGGGTATTACTTTTGGATTCATTGGAGTATCTACAGTATTTATGGTCTTGGGAGAATATAAAATCTCCTAGGACAGTATAGCATGAGAAGAAATTCTACAGTTGATCCCTGAAGGGCTCCATCATTTAGGGCTGGGCCAAAGGAGGGATAATCAGCAAAGGAGACTAAAAATTGGCTTCTATAAAAGTAGAATGAAAACCAAAAGAGTTTCTAGAAATGAATTCTAGAAGGTAAGATTTTAGACAGTCGATCTTTTTAGCATACCAGATAGCTAGACATTGAGACAGGAAAAAAAAACAACCCACCATTGTCCTTCACATCATCAAAGAAGGACGTATGCTGGACAGTAGAGGTTAAATTAATAGTATTTGGATCAATCTGCTATCCAATTGGAGAGACAAAAAAGAAATTTAAACATCATCCAAGTGGCTTGGTAATATCAGGGAAGATGGCAGAGTCGAGACCTCAAAGAGCCTGTGTCTCCCCAGAAAAACCAAAAAAAATCTGAGATCACCCTCATTAAAACTCTAGAAGATAGGAAAAAGGTTTACAGCAACCAAGAAAACATTTAGCCAGGACAATGATCACTAGGACATAGTAAGAGAACTTTGTGGAACTTATCCTTTTGCCATCTACCTCCCTGGCATGACAGTGACCTTGAACTTGGCAGCCTGTCCCAGTGTGAAAACATGGTCCTGAAGGGAATGGAAAAAACCTTGTTCTCAAGTAATTACATTTGTTTTGATGTGTCAAGAACTGATACAATATACATAACCTTAACATTTGTACCCCCATAATATGCTGAAATAAAAAAAAAATAAAAATTTAAAATTAAAAAAAAAAAAAAGAAGAAGAACTGATACAAGGGCCTGCCTTGTATTGCCTAACCTGTAACTCTCTCAGGGTGGTGGTCATTCCTCAAAAACATTGAAAGGCAAATGAACAAGCTGCTGCAGCCTGAGACAAAAATCAAGAGTTAAGGTAAACAATAGACATAACAAAAGCTGGGTAGGAAAACCTGGGGAATGAAATTCTTTGGGAAATAAGGGCTTCAAGAAGCTCCTGTGTGTACTAGGAAATCTAGAAAGCCCTGTGCCAGCCCAAGACAGGATGGTTGCTCAGAGGAGACCATAAGCTTTCACTTTTAGCTGATATGGAGGCTCAGAGCAGGCAGGAAGTGAAGAGTAATTCGTAGTTCTAAATGGCCTGGCTACGAATTGAGGAATGTGCAATACACAACCTATGCAAAGACTTGGAGACTATCTCTCTTTTTTCTCTGTTCTTCTAGTTTCTTTCTTTTCTTTTCTTTTTCTTTCTTTCTTTTTTTTTTTTTTTTTTGGCTTCAAGCATTTAGGTAAATCTCTGTCAAACAACTGGCTGAATCTTAAGGTAAAAAAATACAAACTTCAGAGATCAACAAAGAATACATTGTTTACAAAAATAGCTTAGGAAAGTCACTAAACAAAAAACTACAACCCACAGCAAGGAAAGACAACAAATTCTAGAGTGAGAGAAGAGTTTGATTTTCAGAGTTATCATATCATAATATTCAAATTTTCCAGTTTTCAACTAAAAATTACAAAGCATGCACATATGCAGGAAATATG